CTTTCTTTCTTTCTTCTTAATTCAAAGCTTCTGTATTTCATGTGAGTCAACTCTATGGATTCATGTGATCGTAAGCAGGTAGCTACTTGCTTTTTAAGGCATTTAGAGTTCAGGGTGAGCATTGTGAAAATGGTTTCTGAACAATGAGGATTATCTGATGTTAGGAATCCCCTCCCGGTCCAACTGCTTCTTTCAGGTCTTGAAAATTCTGTCTGGATGGATGACTACTCAAGAAAATAAATGCTCTGTTCTTTGTTCAGTAACAGACACAGAAATAAAATCAATATTTAGTCATGGGACTGCCTCAGTGTTCTCTGGAACGTGTGCCTATGGTGCTCAGCACTAAAACCAGATCATCACAAACCCTTTGTTTTCAGAGTGCTGGGCAATTAATTAGTCTACCTGTGTTATTCACAAGTCTGTATTTTCCCTGGTTTCATTTAGTAAGTGATTGAGGGGAAGGAACAATTCTCTGACTTACTGGTTAAGCTAGTAATTTTCTTAATTACTGTCAGCCTTTGGTGAATGACTGCCACGGTAATCCTATCATTCACCCCAGTGGTAATAATGTGAATTATGAATTAGTAGTAAATTTCACACAGGCAGCTATGGGTTTTTAAGTTGTCTGACATGTATTCTTTCCCAATAGAAATTACATAGATCTGTGTGCATCTCTATTCTAAATGAATGCTTTTCTATGTTACAGTCAGTCCTTTCACATGGCACTGTGGTCGACTGTGCAGTTGTGGGCAAAGAAGATTCTTTGAAAGGTCATGTCCCCTTAGCACTCTGTGTGTTGAGAAAAGGTGAGAGAGATCTTTGTCCTCCCTGACTGTTTGAGCCCTTGATAATTAAGGTTAATGCAGTACTTAACATCTGAACTTTCTCTCTAGATATAAATAAAACAGAAGAACAACTTTCAGAAGAAATTGTGAAACATGTTAGACAGACCATTGGTCCTGTGGCTGCTTTTCGGAAAGCAGTGTTTGTTAAGCAATTACCCAAAACCAGATCTGGCAAAATTCCCCGATCGGCACTGTCTGCTCTTGTCAATGGCAAACCGTACAAGGTAAACTATCAGGGACATGCAGTGTTGGGTTCTGAATGTCCCTCCCAACCCCACTTCTTTGCATCAGTGAAATCCTTAAAAAGTGAAGCACAAATGTATCCTTAAAGACACATACACACAATAGTGCTTGTATTTTTAATATTAAGGGGAAAATTGCATCATCATTCCCTGTAAAACTGGAGGTTTTGGAGAGAAGTGCAGATTATTAATGCCATATGCTTTGCTTATAAGAACCAGTGTGCTCAAATATTTTTTACTACTAGTAAATACGTCAGTTAAATAAACTTGCGTAAACTGTATCTTACTAAATAAAAGATTAATTCCCCTTCATGGCAGTCACCAACAACTATTAGTGAAGGAGAAAGCTAACAATTGAGACTGGCAGTATGTATTTTGAAATTCAAATTGATATTTACACTAATTAAATCTGTTTTTAGTGACTATTATTACATGTGGTACATTTTTTAATTAATGTCAAAATTCCCCTCCCCATCCAGCTGCTTCTTTTAAATCTTGAAAAACTCTGCCTGGACTGGTGACCACTCAAGTAAATAAACAATCTGTTCATTGTTCAGTAACAGAGTTACAGTAACAGTTTAATGGGTGGCACATTAAACGTGCATAGATAGACTTTTAATCATCAGGATCCAACAAAAAAAATGCAACAGAAGAACAAATCCTTCTTTCTGGAGAGTGAGGCAACCCAGGTCAGAGAAATTGTGAGCTAGTAGAATGTGTTCTAGCCCCAGAACCTGTTTGAGCAGGTGAACTAAATCACATTCTAGCAAGTCCTGTCCAGTTTGGCCAACCACACTGACCTTTACACACCATTGATAAAAAGCATTAGATCCTTCTGATGATTCTCTCAATTTCCCAACGGGTGAAAGACAGCCCTCACTTGCAGTTGGAGTGAGACCTATCTGCACTTGCCTACGCACAGCCCAACCAATAACAAGCTAAGATGCTGTGTTACCTCCCTCTTCCTCCCCACCAAGGACCTCCTTTTCAAATATCTCTTCCTAACTTCCTTCCGAGAGCTAGGCTAAATTCTCTTTTCAGTCACCAGCTCCCTCACAGATGAGTCTATTAAAGCATTGCCTGGTTCAGCCACACCTGGTACTTATTGCTTAATTGTTTCCCTAGAGGGCAAAGAGCCTCCTTTTGGGGGGCAGAGACTATACAGGTGTTCACAGAAAGACCAAGTGAAAAATACCATCTGGGGCCCTTAGTTTTGATAACTTGAACATTTAGTTATTGAATAGAATGTATTTCTTTGAAAGAGTATAGATTTTAAAATAGTAGGATCAAAGTTAACTATTTTCCAACATTTCTGTATGGGTATTATAAACTAATGGGGAAGAAGACCACATTGCCTATACTGGTTTAATTAAAGAGAGTTTAAGTTTTCAAGGAAAGCATTCTCTGACTCTAATTTTCTTTCTAGATCACACCTACAATTGAAGATCCCAGCATTTTTGGTCACATAGAGGAAGTGCTGAAGCAGACATCATGACTTTATTTTTAGTCAATTTTCTAATTGGATTCGTTTTTTTTTTTTTAAGTGTTTCCAGAAATAAATATTTAAGTAGAATTTACTTGCCAATTGAAATGTGAGTGTAGAACTTGTTCTCAAAAAAGTACTCGAAGATAGTGCAAGACCTATGCCTTATGTTTGATTAAATTCAGTTGGTATTCTTATCAATTGCTTGTAACATGATTCAATATATCTTTCTAGCACTTTAAGAAAAATATAGCATTTTCAAAAATTCCCCCAAAACATTTTAATTCAAAGTGCAATTAATATAAAGCCACTGTCTCTAATTGGAAATCTGCAGCTTTGACCCAAAAGCAAAACTCAAGTTGAAATCAGAAAATATATGTAATTCTCCATATAAAGATTCTGAGTATTTTCTAATATTTTTGACATGCTAATGTCATTTTAAATGAAATGGGAAGTTACAGTTACCATCTGAACTAAACATTTTCTAGGTGTATTTCCTGAAGGGTCACTGAATAGCAAGTATAGCAATATCTTCATGTCATTTGTTCTTAGTGGGGGAAATCATCTGCCTAGCCAAGAGCCTAGAGTTCATTTATTCCCATCTATTTGTCATGGAGATGAAGGTTCTTTGGAGCCTCTCCTTCTGGCTCAGGTTCTAAGTTAACTAAATACTTGTTAATGATTCCAGCTTCCTGTGGTTCCAAGGGAAATTAAATAGTTAGCCAAGGAAGTTCTTAAGGGAGAAATATAAAAGTTTTTACATAAAGACCAAGAAGCATTTTTAAGAGAAAACAAAAGTTCAGATTTTATGTGAAATTTCTAACTTTCTAACTTTCAAATACTAACTACATAGGATGTATGATTATAATAACAGTAATAATGATACTGTGAAAATGAAACCATCTTTTCATCTAAACTTCCATAAACTATTGAATAATCTAAAAAATAATTGAACATAATTCTTTGTTAATAGTTTATCATTAGATAGCAATTAAGAGTAGTTATAATTAAATATTTGGTTTGAGCCCTACATGATATCATTTACCCATGAATATATTTCAGTACAAAAATATGCCATACCCAATGGATCTTGATGGTTCTCAAAGCATTCCTTACCTATTACACCATTTGGAACATTATTTTCCTGGGTACCTGTCCTAGCATATGTTTGAGATAACAGATATAAAGCTACTTGTTTATTTGCTAGAAAATGTTTATAACCTCTAAAATAATGAAAATGTTACTTTTTTAAACATAGGATGTAAAATAAATGGTTTCTCAAAGTAAACTCCTATTCACCTAAGTTAACCTCTTGATTGTTGCAATTGATAAAATATATGTCTAATCATTCTTTTTAATTACTTCAGTACACTGAATTAAAACTGCTATATGGACATTCAATTACAATTTCAAACTACTGAGTTCCTTAACTGTTAATTCTATTGGGTATTTATACATTGTTACAATTGAATTTTAATGATGCATTTATATATATCTTAGTATTAACATTATCTTATTTTTCATATAAGATTTAATTAATTTGAAATGGCACATTCTGGACGTTTATCATTTGTTAGGCATAGATTCAGGCAGATCCAAGAATGATGCAAATCTTTATATTTACTTGTCTTACACATTCTCTCTGGTAATCAAATAAATAAGGGGACACTTAAGCAAATTGTCTTAGTTATTTTCCAGTTGAATAGCATTAGAAACAGTGAACAAAACTTGGGAAGTGGCTTTTCCTTGGACCTTTTAGAAATTTATCTTTTTTGCAAGGTCAGAAATTACTGTAACTTTCATATAAAAGAGAAGTGCTCCAGTCATCAGTTAACTTAAAACTTGGGAAGAAAAAAAGGAATTTCCTATTTTAATACTTACCAGAAAGCACTCTCACCTGTAAGTACCTAAAATATTTTTAGTTAATTATGTCTTTAAAAATAGAATGTTACTAAAAATGCAATCACGCTGAAATAAATTCTGCATCATTTTTTTTTTTTTTGCTATTTTCTTTCTTTTTTTTTTTTACTGTTAAGATACTGGAAAAATTAAAATAAAAAATTTTCCTGAAACTCTATAGCAAAGTGTGTTTCAATAAGTTGTTTTGTTCATGAAAATGTATTAAATATATGCAAATGAGACCTGCTTTAAATTTGAAAAAGACTTTTATTTATATAAAATTGTATTCATTAAAAATGTGAAAATTCATAGGTGGTTGAAAGGAAGAACATTTGAGATTCTAAACTTAATCTATTAAATGGATTTTTAGCATCCGGCAGAAATTATCTCATACATTGAAAAGTATTTTTTAAAGTCAAGTATCTGTAACTTTTTAATCTTTAGATGTTATAATCTATTAAAAATGTTTTGTATCTCTTACTGAGTGCTTGCTAAAGAGATGAAATTGACTCTTGATTAATTTGTGTGTGTGGTAAATACAAATCTAATTCATATTACAATATCAACGTTTCTACATATGATTGCATTTCATAAAATCACTATGTTCAGACGAACTAGCAAAGCTCTTCTCCATCATTCCCATAAGCAAGTTTAGTACTCCCTCTTGTGGTCGACTCACTTTTTCTGTTAAATTATCCATTGAGAGCTACTAAACTAGTTATTTTCATTAAAATCTAGGTTAATTATTAAACTTCATGGGACTAGAAAACAAAGCTTAAACAGAGAACTGGAAGTATTTTTTTATTGACAATGGAGAGGGTTTCTGTTACCATTATCTTTTGACTGAATCTGTTAAACAAAAATAGACATCAAAACAAATGTAATGTACGTGCAAACATAGCAAATTAAATACAAAAAAGAAATTACTAATGACAGGTCTTGCGCTTAATAAGATCAAGCAGCAGAAAATCAGCAGTTAGGTAAATGGTATTAGTAAATATGTTTTACTCTGAAATCTCCCATATAAACAAAGAATAAACAACAGTAACACCACCAAAAAAGCCACAGGGAAGAGATTACTCTTCTATACTTTTATACACTATATATGTTAATCATTCTGTCTTTCGTTTATTTCCTCTGATAAGACTGACTTCAGGGAAGTCACAGCAAGGCCATCTCGGCTAAAAGCTTATAACATTAGACATGAGTCTGGCTAATGCCCCATTACATCAACAAAGGGAAGGGTTTCTGGGATTTTGTTTTTTTCCAGCGGAAATGAGCCTCAGACTCTGCAGTGGTTAACCGTTCACTAAACAGGGCTGACTGGCAGTTCAAGATATCTGAATGAACATGTGTTCTTAGTAAAGAAGTTTGAAGTTTTTTTTTTTTTTTCTTGGTCCACAGGTAACAGGAGAAGATAATGTTTTTTTTTTTTTTCTTTATAAACTTTTTTTTTTTTTAAACAATTGCTTTAGACTCTTGTAAACAGTTTGGCTGTGTTTTGTATTGAAAAGGAGATTGAGCCATCACAGTGCTATTTCTGAAGATAGAGGACATCCCTGATTGCCTTTTAAGTCTATTTTTGGCTCCAGTTCCAGGTTAAATCATTCTTTTTTACATGATCAGAGGCAGGTTTTCAGCTTTAAGTGTTGACAGACTTGAAAGAGAAACATGTAGAAGCATGAAACGTGCTTCCAGGAAACATATCAATTTGACTACTACGATTCAAAAACTGTAAAAATGGTGAGATGGTAAAATACAAACAGTACTTGGAATTGTCAAATGTTTGCACTTGAGACTCCATGAACCATATATTTTATTTTTTAAAAAATCATATTTATATCCATTTACATAAGACTTACACATTTAAAAAGAAATACATACACAGTAATACATAAATGCCTAGTATATTACAATAAAACATGAGAAAACAAGAGGCTCCATTTCGTAAAAGCATCGATTGTACAGAATCTGTGATGTGGATGATGCTTATTCAAAGGACTTAAGCATTTTCTTACAATGGTAGTAAACTAATCAAATGTAATATCTGACTCCCCCCAAAATCCCATTTTCAGCTTAGTAAACCATTACTTGTTTTTTTCCCCTTAGAATTCAGTCTTCACAAAGGTTTTTCACTGTTCGTCTTCTTAGATGATAGTGCACTTTAGGTAGAGTAGACTGTAAAGACGACATCTAAAATATGTAATGGACAGCGTTAGTTTACTGGAAGTTCCCAGACCAGAAATCCCCCTCCGCAGTCCATGCAGCCTGTCTGTTCTGTCCTAAGATCATGAATAGCATGTCATCTAGGATCTAACCAATAGCTGTTCTCCAATTGTGTGTAGATGAGCTTAGTAAATAATGAGATTTGCTCAACTTTGTGGAACTGAACGCAGCCATATAAACAAAGGTATTCAGAGAAAATGTCAGTAGTCTTGAAACATTTACAACTTGCTCAGTCCTAAATTGATTTCAATTGACCTTTTCTATGGAACAGGTTTGTATTTCAGTTCCAATCTTTTAGGGCTCCTAAATAGACGTCTTTGTTAATTGTCACAAAACCATAATAATAACTTATTTTAACAAATCTGGGTCCGTGATAGGACACTGGACTCTTTCCAGTCAGCATACTTGGGAGAAGTTCCCACTACTCCTGACACAAAAGAAACAGTAAAGAATATGTTCTGATTTATTTTAATAAGCTAGTAAGTTTTCATTAAAAAGAAATTGGTTGTCCTAGATGAATTTATTGTGAATCAATACCTTAATCCAATTTAATGGTAAAAATTAGGAAACATGAACTAAAAATGCCATGCACAAAATAGATACTGCAAATAATTCCAGAGTAATTCCACCCACAGTCAAGAGCTAAGAAGCAAGCACTACTCAACATATTAAATAGTCATTTGTAAATTAGTGAAGTATTCAGTTGCTGGGAAATTATGGTACATGTAGAAGCTGTTACAAATAGTATTTTGGAAAGCCTCTTATTTAGCCAAATCATTTTATACTTTCGATCATGCCTAATTAGATGCCAAATTGTACACCGTAATTATATTTTTAATGTTGGGGTATTACATTCTGAAATTAAATCTTTTGTCTGAAAGCTTTTTTGTTTTAGCAGCAGCAGCTTCAAATAGTGACTCAAATCGGGCAGCTAACCCTCAGATTAAGCCCCACAGACTAACAATACGTTGTATAGAGCTTTAAGTTCAAGGCAATAAATAAACAGCACAAGATGAGCCGTTCCTTTGATTATAACTGCTTCTTCTCCCCATCCTGTGCACACATTTGGTTCTAAATGTTCTCTAACAAGTCTTTTCCCAAGATATAAATTCATTGTAAATGGTAATTTTGGTAAAGTACAGTGTTCGAAAAAAAAAAAATTAAATGCACTTGACACTTATAATCTAGCAAGCCACAGCTTTACTATTAAGGCTTTTAAAACAAGATTCCATTTTTATCTGGCTTTGGAAGTAGAGTCCAACAAATAGTATTTCTCTAAATACAAATACTTCATAACATTTTTACATGTCAGGGCTTGATGTTGATCTTATCCACCGTTCTTACAAAGTACTTTCATTTGGGTCTTATGATATAAGCCCCAGACACTCAAAATTCATGTTTGTTTTCAACAAAGATATATCACACTGATGAAAAGCAATATACTAGAAGTAAAACTTTCAGTTATGGATTTGCTTTTAAAATGAAACCACTTTAAATACTTCCTGTCTGCCACTATTTGACTCCATGTACCTACTAAAATCAGTCTACTTTTGCTTCCTCTACAAAAAATACTTAAAAGTGTACTATTCCTTAAAATCCAACTCTCATTAACATAAGAATATGTGCATCAATATAACTTGCTGCTCGAAGGTAAGAGACAGTGTGCTAGCAACCAACTAATGTGTACGAAGATAATGACAGGCCTCCACTGGTTAGACCTTACACCACAGTAGACAGGCAGTGACAGGACTTCCTAGAGTTAACAGTAGATGCAGACTCCTTTTCCACCCACTAGCAGCTCAAAGGGATTATCTCACTCTTCTACTGCTAGGTCATATGAAGGCAGGGTGGAGATTTACTCATCTATGAAGGTTCCATTTTTTTGGAGGCTTGTTTTTGTCAGCCAAGAAAAACTACTCACAGCAAGTCAGTGCTGACTCCTTTGAGTGGCTTGTCAGCATGAGTATGTGCGAACAGTGGAGTTGTCTAACCTCTGCAGTCTTGATGAGGCAACTGCAAATGAGAAAAGGGCTTTAGAGCGACTCGGATGATGGAGTACAGAATTTCAGATGAGAAAGATTTCTTGCCTGAAGGGATCCTGATGTATTAGTAGACCTTCTTTCTCTCAGCTAGAAGCCACTCACATTCTTTTTCTCTAGACCAAGTTACTAATGAATATGTAGTCCAGTGTGACCAGGTGAGCTTTTGAATTATGTCCTCCTCCTTAGAGGAAATCAGTAGTAAGAGCAGCTTCTTAGGGTTGTGCTGTTTTTGAAGGAAAGCTTGCTCTTAAAGAATTCAGTATGGTTGGTGAGTATATTCCCCTCCAAGGATTATAGAAGTTCTACACTAATTTTAATCGTGTTAAATTCCTCATGAATTTTGATAGAATGTTCCATAGCATCAACAAGTTAGAAGACAGAAAAGTCAACGGTCATGGTTTACATTGGAAGTAATTTTGAGAGCCATGATAACTATATTCTCGAATAGATAAAACAATGGAACCATTTGCTGAATAAAATAATGGGACCATTTGCTTTTCAATGCCTACCAACTAGAAATAACATTGGAACTAACTACGTGAGAGTTGTCTTAGCAGGATGGCTGACCTCATTTGTGCAGTGTATGACACAGACTAATGTCCACAGAAGGAAATGTTAATTGGGAAATCACTGTTGGTTTTGTGTTTAATTCTCTTCTCATGGTTGTGCTTGTTTATTTAAGGCCTTCTGCCCTGGCCAGAGGTGAAACGATCTGATGAGTCTGAGTTTCTAAGATGAACAGAAAACCTGCAATATTCAAACATGTAGGGAGGCAGTGGTGGTAATTTTCATTTGCTCTGGAAATCTCACCCAAATTCAACCTCTAACTAAAGAACTTTTCTTTGGAAATAGAAGAGTAAAGAAACACAAATCATGCGTGTTTATTATTCTTCCTAGATGTGGACATTAGCCAAAACTGTCCTTTTTCAGATAAATTATTTTAATATTAATAAAAGTGCTATGAATTCATGCATTAGCAATCTACAAGAGTCTGGTTTTTGATGAAAGCAAAGGAAACTTCAAGCAGAGCAAACCAACAGAAGAATAAATTCCAAAAAGTTATGCAAGGTCAGAGCATGATACTAGCTTTAGCTAAACAAGCCTTTTATTTCATAAGCAATAAAGCAAATCTACTGTACCATCTGGTGTCATTTTCCTTGACTGTCCAGATGTGGTGGTTAATCTGAACCCAGCTGGTAATGTTTCGGAAGACCCAGGCATCATGCTGATTCCGTGTACTTCACGAGGAGGAAACTGCCTTCTCCAGGTTGATCCACGCCTGAAATTCTTATCATCATTCTGCCAGAATAAAGTTATAATGTCATGTAGTAAAAGCAAGTGAGTAAGAGGTGCTTATACAAAAAGTGTTACTGCTGCGTGCTTAGAAGCGTGTAATGCTGATTATTTAAATTGTGAGGGATATGTATAAAATATGCTTTATATTAGAAGTTCTATTGCTTACAGGAGATAATGAAACATCAAGAAATGTTTCTATAAAAATTTTCAAATAAAATCAAACCTAAGCATTGACACCTATAAAAGTAAATACCTTTAAAAACATAAGATAAAGCCTCAAAGTTTCCTCCAATAAAGAGATTGGATATTCTTTTTTTTTTTTCTTGAAGATTTGTTTGATTATATATATTAGAACTTGGGTACAGGCCAGAGGTACAGTGGTTGAGAAGATTCACCAGAGAGTGGAGAGCAGAACAAGTGGATTGATGGAAATAAACTGCTAGGGGGAGCAGCGGGCTGGACAGGAGGGACCTGCTGTGCCATGTGAGCCACCTTCCTGTCAGGGGATTGAACTTGTACTGCAATGGTTGCGGATAGCTTTATAGTGCTGTGTTATATCCCCTTGTGTCACCAGGGAGGGCCCCAGAACTATTGAATATTCTTGGTTACTGAATTGATAGTATGAGATGATGCCCTTAGTTAAAGAAATTGTTGAATAAACTGTGGTTGAATAATTATTTCACTAAATTTTCCTTTATAAATACAAGGAATTATGGCTTGGGAAATCTATGAATCACAGAGTCTGGCTCTGTGGGGGACTATCACTTATAGTCTCTGTGAGAAAAACTAAAATGCAATGTTATATTTCAGCTGATACAGAATTAGCTTGTGATTTGTTGACTAAACCATGGACACAGTTTGGACACAGTTTTTTAAAATAATACAGGTGTTCTTTAGGTGCCACTCAAAGCATAATATAGCAAACTATTGTATGATTGTAATTCTGGTTGTTGATTTGTTATACCTTAATGATATAATCTCTTCTCACTTTGTACATACCCAAAGAGCCTGCACAAATACAATTTCCTATGGAAAGTATTAATCATTCCACAGACTTTACCTTCTCATACCACTATATTTCTTGTCTAAGGAAAGCCTATTGTACATTACAGAATAGCATAGGTGACTTCATCTTGGCATAGAGAATAACTGATCACATTTCAGCTAAAATTATGATTATAACTAACAATACAAGGTATTCCTCACTAGAGAATGTTAATTTAATTAACTGACATTCAAAGTGAATTTGAGGAAAACAAAATCATTTACATAATCACATAAATCTGTTGGTCTGCTAGAGTTTTTATCACCAATAACTACATTTTCTTTAGATCTGGTAAATGCTTTACAGTTTAAGAGATGTCTTCTACTCCTCTTTCCAACTGCTGGGTATTACATTGGTCCAGATACCCAACTGTTTAGAAATGTAGAAAAGAAACAGAATGTCCTAGATGAGGTCTATGAATTCTTGACTTTTGGAGAAGCTGCATGAACAAAAATAGTCCCCAACTTTACAAGCCACTACATTGCTATAATGTATAGGCTGAGGACTCAAAAATAGGCCAATATGTTGAGTTTAAGTCATGATTCCTTACTTTGCGTTTATAACATAATGTCACTTGAAACAATTAATAGAAACTACAAACAAACAATATCAGTGGAAAGTTTCCATGAGATCAGATAAAAAGATAGTCTCTGAATTGAAATCAAAGTCCTTAGAAGCACATCGGCCTTTATCAAATTATTTCAGCGGAATCTGAATAAATCAAGTACACTAGGTTTGGGTGATTTTTAAGCTACTCAAGAAATAAAAACAAAAACAACTAAGGAAGGCAAAACTAAGAAACAAAACAAGAAAATTAGGGCAAAAGAGACCAGATAAAGGATAAGATGGACTAAATGATAAAATCATGTGCTTTGCCTTTAGTAATAATTTTGAAACACAGGCAAATAGTCACATCCCATTGACAGCTTTCTGTTTGCTACTTTCAGGAAGCAACACTTAACCCATGCAGCTAGTGTCTTTAGCTGGACCGTTCGTTCCTTCAGTTTAAGATGTATGAATATGATAAGCATTTAATAATTTTATTGAAATTCCCTTTGCAAGTTTTAGGCAAGGTAAATAATTATATGTAAAAGTGTATATGAGTTTATGCAAACTATCTTATTGATTTAACAAGTATGAATAAGAATTAAGAAGACAATCAAATTAAAAGCCAATTAAGTATGGACTGCTTTTATAAAATATTAATCTCTCTGTGATTGGACAGGACTATGAATTTATGGGAAGTTAGCTGAGGTCAAGACTGCAGAGTTTTATCCTGCCGACCTGTGACTATGCAGGTATCTCTTTTTCTTTCTCCTTTTCCTAATAAATCTGTTCTTTAAAAATTAAAAAAAAATTGTAAATTTATCTCAAAAGGTAATAAAATATACTCTTCTTATTAGAATATGGAAATATTGCATCATTTTAAGATTTGCTGGGTTTAAACTAATTTGTCTTTATAGCCAATGAACACCTGCATTTTGCAACACAGAATTATGCATCTTAGCATTTTCCACATCATGCTCAAATTTCCTTCTACTTTTTCCAGAAAGACCCTGTAATAAACTCAGAAAGTCTATTAAAATCTGTACTTTCTGGGCCCTCCTTGGTGGTGCAGCGGGTTAAAGCACAGCACTAAGAAGCTTAAGCCACTTCCGCATGAGTTCGATTCTCGCCTGCCTGGAGGAGATCCACATGGCGTGGCAGACCTCTCCTGACCCGCCCGCTGCTCCCCTCAGCAGTGTACTTCGTCGATCTGCCTGTTCTGCTCCCCACTCTCTCTCTGGTGAATCATCTCACCCTCTGCATCTCTGGCCTGTACCCCAGTTCTGTATGAATAAAAAAAAAAATCTGTACTTTCTATCAGTGCACAGGGATTGCAAATATCTCTTCATCTCAAAGGCTGTGTACATGCTTTGTTAATTTTCTGAATCATGAAAAATGAACATATTATGTATTAGAATTCTTACTCAATATGTATTTCAATTCTTATGTCTGTTCAGATGTTATTATTCATCTGTTTTAAATGAACACTTAATACTGATATTTAAAATGAGAACCACTTTTTTAAAAGCAAGTTTTCTCCTAGTTTTAGTGCCCTAAAACTTTCTGTTAATATATGTTGATATATAAGATATAAGCACATTCCTTATTAAAAAGCTTAATTTATCATGATGAGTGTTATTGATGCTTATAATTTTTCAAAACTTTGCTGCTCAACATAATTATGTAGTCAAAACTTCTATAAAAAAGGCTGTTTTTTATTAGTTCTTGGTGCTTCTAATTGCTGATATGATATTTATGAATTCACAATTTTTTTTTTCAAAATCAAATAGGCAATAAAATTAATATTTAAGAATAATGTTGGGGAAAACTCTAGATCTTATTCACAGGACAATTATCTAATTAATTTGAGTACTAGTACTTAACAGCCATTTTACTTATATTCTCTAAGAGTCCCTTTAAATGATAAGAACTTACTTCATCCAGTCGCCTTTCAGTTCCCAGAGCCAGGAGGTTATTGTATTCTCTTTCAAGAATCTGCCTTGCCTGTTGACACGAAATTAAAGTTACCATTCCAAAGCACATTATAGTTAAAGAAAAAAAAAAACACAGAGTTTACATATATATAAAAGTATTCAAGCCCTAGTTAATTTATGGGATTACTTTAAGCTTTAAGTCTTTCATGTTTATAAGCCATTTTAGCTATAAATACAGAAATATATGGTAGGACAATTTTCTTTGTTTGTGAACACTAGGTAGAAACCCTTAAGTACTGAGGTTGAGGACTTTGGATCTTACTTTGTGACCATATTCTAATTGAATATTTTACATAAACTTTGAAATATGTAAATCGTGTGAAGCTAATGGCCAATTATTTTATCAAGTCTACCCATGTAGTTCTCAGACCTGGACATGATTACCATTTGGAGAAATTTTGTATCCTAACTCTTGATATCTGATTTCTTAGACTTCTGAAATAGTCTGCAGGTTTTATTTTGCATTTTGAAATGACCCAGTTGATTCCAATCATTATCTAGGTTTGGGGATCATCATATACCCCATGCTAATTGTCTATACAAGTCGGACAGGGGAAGAGAAATGAGTGCCTTGCAGAGAGGCAGAGTCTGAAAGCCATCTGTCAGGGGTAGTGTTTGGCAGAATCTGGCATTCAGATAGGAGGTTCAACCACAAAATCTCTAAATCCCTTCGGCTACATTTTTATTTTGTTTTGACTAGAAATCCAGTAGCATGAAAATAAAACCCCAGTGACATTTCAAAAGTTGAGCCATCTGTCATAAGGAATCATGTATACACAACAAGGTTTTTGTTCCTGGAAGTTTAGCTTGTCATTCCATAAACCAGGATGCATGGCAACTCCATCACAAAGGGGCTTGCCTGGGTGTTCTGTGTTGGAATCTGCAATAATAAAGCTAAGCTGCTGTAGTCAAAGTTCTCATCCAGGGCTATAAGGGAGCCATGCACACCACTCTCAAGAATATTATTCGCATATTCTCGAAGTCCAATTGCTTGTATCCAACGAATAACTCGATCATTGCTCCACACCAACACATCTAGGAAAAGAGGTGCATTATTTTAGGCTGCAACATTTTGCATAATTAAACAAAAGTACTAGTTGATATGAGCCCTGGGTGTCTGGCCAGGTCAGCATTTATACACCTTGACCCCCTTGTGTTGCAAGTATTTGTTGTTCTAATAACTTGTATTTTCTATTTTTAGTCTAGGGGGAAAAAGTCATTATTTTCAAGTATTTGTTAGCACTGAAATGACCGCACTTCTATCTCATGGGACACAATGCCTATCCTGTTTCTTGTTTTCATTAAACAGCTCTCACTTCTGTCTGAAGTTTGGTGTTTCTACCACCAGAGGGGGACATTCCTTACTTGTCTTGATATATCGGTCTTTCAGTAAAAATAACAAATAAGAACATAGCATGGTTTTTATCAGAAGTGTTTACTAACCACTGCTTAAATACTTAAGAGCATCTAGAAGAGACTTTTTTTTTTTTCACCTGAAACAATAGTAAGAGAACAGAACTGAAAGATCAGGAACTCCCTAGCATAGCAACTAAACCATGCTATGGTTTAGTTTGTCAATTCATTACTTTTCAATCACAAACTAATGGAAAATGTGGGCTCTCTGTCAAAAGTCACAAGTTGTTTTTCCTTTTAGGTTGAAAGTACTATTTTATTGAGGTAAAGAAAAAAAAGCAAAATTTGAACTTTATTTTGTAAACTTTATAGAAAAATTCTATATGTGCCTTTTTACTCCCAAAACATATCTAAGCATACTTTAATCAACCTTTCCCCATTTCTTTCTATTAGAGTTCTATAGAATACTATTTAGAAAAAAGCAGTAAAATCATCAGAAGGACTAGAATAGGAAGAGATCTATGGAATTTAATGAAAAGCTTATTTACTAATTCCATAGAAAGGAAAATGAACTCAGAGTGGACTACTACCATGAATGTTAGTTTTCTAGTTATCTTTTCTCCTTTCTGTGTGAAACATTTTAAGAAAAAAATATAAAGAGTATTTTGGTTAATATTCATTGACTTCAGCTGTTTATTTTTCTCCATTCCATTATCTGCAAACATCAGAATATTATTTAGAGAGGGGAGGAAAGAAAGGAGACTTCACCTATTGCTTTAACTTTTTAAAATTATTACTAATTTGTACTATTTACGTATAATTAAGTAAGATTTTTTTTTTTCTGGATCATAGCTTTAAGGCAGTAAAGTGATAACATACCCCACTGGGGAGAATTGTCAGTAGACAACCAGTAAACAACACTCTGACTAATCTCACTACACATTAGTTTTGCCTTAATTTTTAGCTTTTTTTTTTTAAAAGGATTTATTTATGCATACAGAACTGGGGGTACAGACCAGAGGTGCAGGGAAGGTAAGAGGATTCACCAGAGACAGAGTGGGGAGCAGAAGAGGCATACTGATGAAGTGCACTGCTCAGGGGAGCACCTGGTGAGACAAAAGTGGTCTGCTGCACCATATGGGTCACATCCAGGCCCAGGGATTGAATTCTTATGGCTTGCAGTGCTTCACTTTAACCCATTATGCCACCAAGGAGGGCCTATAATTTTTAGCTTTTTAGTAAATGAAAGGATATATACTTTTGTGTCTATTTCTTTGACTCCAGAATGGAGTTTATGCATATCCTGCAAAGAGCAGTAGCTTATTTTCACTGCTATATAATATTCCAGTGAATGAATGTACAGTTTACTCACTCTACCGTTAATAAACATTTGACTAGGTTCTACTATGGACCATGGGTGTGGACTATGTTCACTTTCTCTTGAGAGAATTTACTTTTATTTTCTAAGGCAGTAGCATAAGGGCATATTAACTCGATCCAAATGAGGGTTACACTAAATGCAGGCCGAATTTCACTTTCAAAATAAAAACTGGTATACGTAACTGTGTCCTTAATTCTAGAGTATATCCCTCAGAGATTCCCAAAGAGAGCTTACTTTGGTGATTCTTATTTCAGAATTTTTATTCTGTCATCATAAGTTTGCCAAGGGCTCTGTTCAGGTTCCTTACTCTTTGGCTTCTGATTTCTGACCAGTTTTTAGCATTTTATTCCATGCTTCTTGGGAGTCCGCAAGTGCCTCAAGAGGAAAGTTGCATAAACTGTCAGCTTAGTTATCTCTTTTATCTCAAGGATCTTGTTACTCAAGGCATAGCAGCTTTGACTCCTCTATATTATAGTTTTTCTTCTCTATTCTGTGAATTAGAGAAAAGTAGTAGCTGGAGATAGGCTTACCTCAGAACAAGCATCTTTTATCCAGGATTTCAGCCTCTCATGTCTAGGTATTTCAGCTGCATTCTACTGTCTTCAAATATCAACTTATTAATTCAACTAGCTTTTCTAGTTGATCTTGGTTGTAGATTGATCTGATTCAATATACACCACTATAGTCAGGAGTGGATGTTACTTAGATTAGTTTGTGTTCGTTTGTCTCTGGATTCACAATGCTAATAAAAAGTTTGTGTATGAATATGGAAGCCTCTCTGCCTTATATCACTATACTTAACTGCTGTTTTGTCTTTAAAATTTCATTTCAAAATCCAGTCTCTTTGCATTTTGTCACTAAGGAACACTGCCTTTTCCCCAGTGTTATTACTATTTTCTGCTTCAAAGTAGAATGGATTTCCAAAGGAAGTAGAAAATTTAAGTCTCCTTCAGAGTTTTGGTTCTTCCTTTTCCTATGTCTTCAACAAGCAAAGGACTTCCTTGATGATTTTTATTATATATGAAAATTTCATATTATATTTAAATTAGAAATATCCTGGATCAATCCTTAGGTGTATATTTTCCTCTGAGTTTTCATTTGTTTTTTACATTTTAGATATCAGGCCTCAAAGAACATTGACTCATATTACATTTTGGTTATGTCAATCACTTACTATTGATAATATTTGATTTTTTTTACTATTGGTTACACCACACTTCAAAAGTTCGGTAGGTATAGATGGCTGACAGGAACAGTTTAACAAACTTAAATTTCACTAAATGCTACCTTTTAAGACACTGAGAAGCAGTACCCTCAAAAACAGTAGTTTTAAATCCTTAAACTTGGACAGCAACATGGTGGCTTTCAGAAGGGAAAGAGAGGGAGGGAATAAATTAATGGTAAATGATAGCTAAATATTTGAAGGTGGGCGTGAAATACATACCCAAGGAAGTGAGAAACAGTACATGTGAAACCCATGTAGTGTTGTAAACTACTGTGACTGAAAAAAGAAAAAAAAACTGACTTTTTTTTTCACTAACTGGATTTGTAAACAGGAAGCTGGGTTTATGTTTTGATAGTCAAAAACATAGTACATAGTCACCATATTTCTGCAGATATATAGCCATCAAATTTTCCATTGTCACACCTGTAGACAAGAGTTCAAATGTACACAATTGTAAATATAAATATAGGGTGAAGGTAAATAAGGCACCAATAAAAATTTTCTTTCTTCAGAATGGCAGCATACCTTTTTCCAATTTTGTAAGTCAGATCCTATTCTAAAATCTATTTCCAAGCATAATGTATGCCTTGACTTTAGGGCTTGGTAGAGGTCCTCTTGACCTAAACAATAAGTGACTAGTGCTCAGTGTTGATTGTTTCCTAGCAACACATTAAATAATAGTACAGTCATGATAGTCACACGGTTCCTTCATTTTAGAAAGCTATTTATTAAAGTCAAGGTTAATTAACACTCCAGATAATAACAGAAACCCTTAGTCACAGTCAAGTTATTCCCATAAATGTCATCAGATTGGTGAGAGGAAGCAACAGGTCATCTCTCACACCTTTCATTGATATGAATTTGTCATATATAATCAAAGTGAATAATGGTAGCCTCCCTTCCCCCCACTAAAAACCACACTTTAATCTGCAACTACCAAATATTATCATTATTTGGAGTTGGCCAGATGTGAAATTCCTCACCTTTACATTCCATCTCTGTATATGAAACATTCTATGTGATGAGACCAGACAAAATAAAATCTGATTGGAGAAAAATACTTCAAAAAGAAAACTAGAAAGTGGTATTTCATGGGGAAAATCTACATAGGTAAGTTTTTAGGTCAAGCAAGGACTTCTTTAGCAATTACTTTCCAAATTTTAATTCAACCAAACAACAACATATTTTTTCTGAAAAGAATATGAAATTCTCCAGGGCTCCAAGGTGAAGTGAAATCAAACCACCAGATTTTGATAATGGAAAAACCTTCCTGATTCTAAATAAGTCAAATGAAGTGTTACATAAAATCCAGACTGTGTCTATTTACTCTCCAGTGAACCATATACAGCAAAATAATTTTAACCAATCACCTTCATATGCATTCAAATTTACTATACTAGAACTAATGAAATGTTTAAGAACTGTGAAAGATAAATGTAATTTCTGATTGTTTAATATAAATGCAGAGTAGAGAAGTTAAACACAGAGATTTTAAATAATAAGCTAGAGCTAAACATATTATACATTACTTGTATAAAGGAACCTCCAAAAGAAGTGAAGATGAAAACAGAAGCTTATGCATAACTTTGAGTAATTAAAATATAAAAAAGAAAACTATTAAATTTGATGACATACACCACCAATGAACTTTTGGATAATAGAAAATAGAAATACAACTGATAGCTTATTTTGTATATACACAAAACATTCCTTATTTAAAAAATTTTGCCTGGGATAATTGCATTTTTTCTTTGAAAAATATAATTTGTTAGCATAGTGTGGCAACATATACCCTAAGAGTGTGAACTTATGCTTCTAAATAATATACAGTGTTATAAAGTAATATTACCTCAATAAAAATACAAATTAATATATGAACATAAATTAGCTAATAATTTTTACATTAAAAAGGGCTTATAGATACATTATACCCATTAATTTTTCTTTTATGATAAAAAATTTTCCTTTCACAGCAGTAACAAAAATAAAGCGTGTAACAATTTTTTTGAATATTTCTTTCCTTCTTATGTTAAGGTAAACCTCAACATTTAGATACAATATTTTTCTAATAAATCAGTACCAGTACATCTTTTCTTGTCATTCAAGTCAACCACATTGGTATACCTAGTAGTTGCAGCAATTAGCAATGCTTCTAAAACCATTCTAACTAAAATTAATATTATATTAGTCTCACTTAAAGGGGAATAACCCCTATATACTGTCTACATAAAATCACTATGAAATTTCTATAACTAAATTACAAAAATAAAAATTCTGCACACAAATAAAATTCAAATGATATAAACCAAAGATAAATTGCTAAAAATAAATTATATGCCATGTTTTCTGAGTCATAATGAGAATGTTCTATTAAAAGTTTGACAGAAATATCTATATGGAGGCATCTTTATGAAAAGCTGAATGTATAATTAAGAAGATCCAAGGAATAAATACCAATTCAAGCAGTCGAGAATATGCCCTGAGAAAATCACCAAATAGTGTAATGATACACTTCTGTGTTTTAATCAGAGTGTTAATGAAAACGAAATACTGACAGCACTATCGTGGTTGAATACTTTGTTATTCAATGACCTTTGTAATACTTTAGTTTCATAAAAGTGAAAGCTAAGACCCCCCAGAGAAAGGCATTTCTTATGAGAGAAAGAGACATTAATTACCTTTTATTTCATGTTGACTTGCTTCTCGTCTTCTTTCTAATTCTTTTCTGTCATAATTTAACCTTTTTAAGCACATAATTCCATACTGTAAACTTGTTCTGTCATTATATTTTTAAAAGAAAAACACAATGAATTTACTTAGCAGATGAATGTTTTTGATAAAGTATAGTCAATACTATGTATAATGTCTTTGGGTAAAAGGTTAATACATTATATTTAAAATTTAATCTTTAAACACTGATAAGAAATAAAATCATACTTATTCTAAGCACATACTGCTCTAGAGAATAAAAGAAAACTATTTTGAATATGAGAAAGCATAGTGATGAGAAGAATCATGAATCATGTGTACCCATATGACTCTTCTAGTCAGCTATTTCTACATTATCTTCAGACTAAGGTATATTTGACTCAGTTGAAAAGATTTTAGAGTTGCAATTAAGAATTTAGAGAGGAATGTATAGGAAATTGCTATCTTTCCCCTAAATTTATAAGAAAAATAACATAGCAACTTGAATTAGTCAAGTAATAAAATAATTAAATACTATAATGAATAAACCAGTGCCTCTAAAATAAGGAAGTATATGAAAGGAACAAGTCAGCTGACTGTGTGGAAGGGCATTGTGGGAGAGCAGAAAAAGGATCCTTACAGGATAATTTAGCAAAAAGGATATTAAAGAAAATGGAGTAAGTATCAGAAACATAAAATTGAAGATGAACTGTTACAAGTGTGGTGATAGTGAAATGCAAATCTAGAGCTGAACATTTATGTTAGGAAATAAAGAGAAATATGATTACATATGAAGACTTGAATTTTACTAAGGAAAGCCTTTCCTTTGGTCTAGGTGGGAATACATGAAAGTGTATTCATCACTAGGACAGTTTTCACAGAAGAAAGAAATTAAAGTTGAAGTTTTTGCCTAAGGAAGCATAATTTGGTACCCATATAAGACATGAGTAAATAGGTAATCTTAGGGGGCAAGACAATTAATTAAGGTATCAATACTGCCAAAATAGGGATCACAGTAAGGGCAACTAAAATGAGCATGAAAAGAAAACCCAGATATCAGAGGTGCCCCAAAATGAGAACACTTGGTGATGCTATACAGTGGGAGACTATTGTAAGAAAAAAGAATATCTAGGTGTCATAAGTAAAGAACAACAATAATCAGTGTCTTAAGCATTTATAAATATAGACACTGGACACAGAGGTGTTAGATGCTTTTCTAAATTATGCAATTTTTTCAAGATTTATTTATTCATAGAGAACTGGGGTACAAGCCAGAGGTGCAGGGGCGATGAGAGGATTCACCAGAGACAGAGTGAACAGAGATAGCAGAACAGGCCAACTGACAAAGTACACTGCTGAGGGAAGCAGTGAGTGGGTCAGGAGAGGTCTGCTGCGCCTTGTGGTTCACCTTTGGGATGGGGACTGAACTCATGCTGAGGTGGCTTTAGCTTCTTAGTGCTGTGCTTTAACCTGCTGCACCACCAGGGAGATCCCTAAACTATGCATTTTTAAGGAAAAAAAAATGTTGCACTCAATGACTCAGAGTCTGAGGAAATTGGAAAACAATCCACATTTAAGAGGGTGCTTGTATGGCTTGAATTTTGTTCCCCAAGATTCATATGTTGAGGCATAACTCCACATATTTCAGCATGTGACTGTATTTGGAGAGAGTGGCTGCAAGGAGGGAATCACATTAAAATAAGGCAGTAGGTCTATTTTAAATCAGCCTGACTGGCATCCCTGGAAGAGGAAATTTGCACACACAGAGAAGTCACGGACATGCACACAGAGGAGAAAGAGTACCCGAATCCATGGTGAGGGTACCAACCCAAGCCAAGGAGAAAAACCAATCCTGCTAACATCTTGATCTTGCATTTTTAAATTCAGTAGCTATGGGAAAATAAATTTCTGTTTATAAGACATCCAGTTTATAATACTTTATGACAGCCCCAGGAAGCTAATTCAATGGGATATCAGTTATTCTGATAAATAACCAAGGCATCTTGGGGTGAAACCAATGGTTCATTTCTGCCAAGTTTTATAGAGAAAAACAGACTGTGCTATGAAGAGAATATATGTATGACAACATGTGTGAGATGGAAACTGGGCTGAAAAGACAATGGAATGTAATATGCAGACAGGTATTAGCTGCGTAAGTCAGAAGCAGACATACACTAGAGACAAGCTTACATACATCCCAGAACAAGTAAGAGCCCTGCCATTTGAACAATTTTTATTTTTTAAAAAGGAAAACTTGTTTATTGTATTTGTCATTTCTACTAAAATAATAGCGATTAAAAGTCAACCTAGTGAATGGGAGTCAGGAATTATGTCATCAAATATTCTAGTATTTCAAAGTCTAATGTAACCACGTGGTGTTTGAGGGCCTAAATGTTCAGCAATAGGAAACTCACTATTTCACAATGTATATGCCTCAGAGAATGACATAAAGTTGTGTTTTTTCCATTGGGTAGAAATCATTCACCCTAGAATCTATACCTCTCTGAATGAGAAAAATGCACACTTAACAAGGCAAATGTTTATTCATTATGATAACAATATTAAAACATAAGAAAACATCTATAAATTCTCTTATCCAAGATAGATATCATTAATTTCACTTTTCCACTGCTTTTGCTGTCTTATCGATAGTAATTAAATGTGCAGATGTTTTAAATAGGACATTTGCTCTATTTCCTGAACATCTATTTTTGTTTTAGTAATACATACATTATTTTTTGTTTCACTTTAATTATTTGGAAAGAACCTACCGATGGAAGCTATCCACCATTTTTAAATGCACACGGAGATCTTTTTTTGTTAGATGATCTAACATTCTTGCATCTACCAAGCACTCCATAAAATAACTTCTGTATTGAGGTAACCCCAGGCTAGGAAGCCATTCATTTCCAATCCACTCATGGTTCATATCTCCATATGCCAGGGTCTGTAGAAAAACCGGACACTAGAATTGTTTTATAGCAGTCAAGTTTCTTAACCAATAAAATGAGATTGTAATTGGAGGATATTAGAAATGCCCATGATATAACTGATATTTAATCACAATGATGAAAGGAAACAGAAAAATATTTAGTCTTTGAGGACTTGTAAATCAAAGTGATGGAATAAAATGATAGAATTCTGGATACAGGTTCAAGATATTTACCAATAAAAATTATTATATTCACCGTATAGTCTCAAAAACCAAAATTTACATCAAGTGACTTTTACACCAATAGGTATTTTTATGAAAAAAGTAGAATTAATGGCATAAAATAATTGCTGCAAATAAAGGGTATTCATATCAGTAGATTGATTTAATTTAAATTAAACTCCACTTTTTCCTACTTTAATGCTACAGTTACTATTGATATGGTGTAATGGCAAATCCTGACTTACAAATAAAGATCTCAGGAAACAAATAGAGAAGGGAGAACTTAAATGGATATTATTGTGACCTAGTAATGTATACGGTCAGCATTCCATAAGATCAGTGGGGAGAATAATTCTTTTTCAGAAATCCATCAACATAAACTCTACTTAAAGAAGTAGGGCATGATTAAAAAAATAACTAGTACAAATAAACAAACACTTTAATATAACTATATGAACTAATTCTACCAAACAAATATTCTTCACAGCCAAAATGAAAACCAAAATTATCATCACCTCTAAAACAATATTACAAAGATTTTAGTGTCTTTCTATTAAGTCCCTTTTCAAATAACAAATTCAAAATTCTAACTAAACTAGATTTCTAGTGAAGATCTAGGTGTTCCCCTTCTTTCTTTGTTCTTCAAATGTTAAAATTCTTACCAAAATGATGCAAACCTAATCTGCAACTGCTTAACTATTTAAACATTCTACGTATTATATTTCACATTTATATTATATTATAGCTTGTATGCTATTACATTTATTTTATAATATTTGTTTTATTACAACATTAAGATTTTCCTTAGAATCAAAGGTTTGAATCACATTGAATACTACTCATGTTCTTTTGGTCAAAAAAAAGCAAAAATGCTGAAAAACACACAGCTTCCTCACAAACTTGTTTGTTCAAAATAGAGGAACTTGTCTCATATTGTATGCAATAACTGGGACTGACTCCTGCTTGTAGTCACAGTGCTGGCATGTCCCCCCAAATTCCAAACCTCTGATAGTAGGCATCAGATTCCAAACTGTTTATATGTTCACTCCCCCTCACAGCCAACATGAATAATTCCTGATTAAAAATAGCCAGAGGTAATTTCAGAGAAATTTAAGTTGTAGTTCTTTTGAAGAAGAAAGGAAATGACTCTTTCAAAAGAGACCAAATATAAAGTGATAATCATCTCATTTGCAAAATATGGTGATTTAAAATACACATGCAGCATTAAACATAATATATTTATGTATATATCTTAGCCTAATCTTAAACTAAGTGAAAATTTCTATTATGACATATAACAACCTCTTATTCCATATCCTCATAACCTACTAAATGCAAGTCTTAAAGTGTATGGATTTCCTACCTGGGCCCAGCTTCCTTCCTCAGATTCTTTCTGTGTTAGCATCAGGGAATGATTAATAAAGCAGATAAATACAAATTAATCTCAGCTGAAGACAGTAAATTTTTTCTAACAGAAGCAAAATTGTTATTAAAATGTTAATTATGATACTGGTAGATTAAGACATGGATTCTTACTTAGATGGACAATAAGTCAGCAGTTCTAGGGTAACTACACTGTTTCTAATTCATCTATTAGACACATACATGACATAGGGGATTTTCATTGTACAATTGTTCTTGTCATTACAGAGACCCCTTTTAATTCTTAAGTGGGTAATTTCCCTAATGCTGGAGCTTAATAAGAAATTCTGAATATATATATATATATATATATATATATACAAATAAACATGTTCACAAATGTACGCACACACACACATGCAATATTGAAATCTTACATAAAATAAACTGATGGAATATATAAAGGAACTATATCCTTCTAATAAAGCTCTCTGGCAATCAAATATATTTCAACAGAGAACAAAAACCAAAACTAACAAGACTAAAACCAACCACAATAAAACTAAGCTAGAAATGCCACTATACTCAACATTGACATTTTTACTCTCATCATATACTTCTAAGTAGTTAATACTTCTAACAGGAATAAAACAAAGGTCATTTAATTAAAAAGATGTTACTTAGAATAAATGCACAACATGCCTAACATTGTTACTTTTACTGTAACTCTAAAGTACATTGTATTTTAAAAAAACTGACAATTAACAATTAGATACAGTTTTTTTTTTTTTTAAGCACAGGGCTTTTAAAACCAAATCAAGAAAGCGTATTTCTTCTTGATAATTCTGCGCCTGAAGTGATAATGTACAACAAACTAAAGGAGTATACCAAAAATGTGTGGTTGTTCTAAATTTTTCTATTCTAAGTTAAATTGGAATTAGTAATATGCATTGTGACCATGCCTATTACAAGTAACATTTCCATTGCTGCAAAATGAGTAAGTTTGATCAAATTCTTGATTATGTGCATCTGATAAACACTTACTCTATTAACCACATGTTGACAATCTGGCACTTCATATCACTATGTGCACAGACACCACTGTTCTGATTGAGTATAAAGCAAATAGCAGTCAAATAACTTTACTTCATGTTCAACAAGGCCATAGAGACTAACCGTTTTTGCTGGAGCTGCGAGATTTTCCATTTCTTCATGGGTCACCCAAACGTTGCCTGAAGGCTAGTGAGGAGGCCCAGAGGGAAAGCAGAGGATCCATAGGAGGGAAGCAGTGGTAAAGAAGAAAGGCAGCACCACCATAAGTTAACAGCAACACAACAGCTCTGGGCTCCATACAGCGCATCCCAGAGAGACCGCGTGGCTGGTTGGCCAATGTTCCCTTTTTTACCACTTAAAAAGATTACATGGAATGAGGCATGGTGGGATAGACTGCAAATGTTACTTCTGTGATTACAAATCACTAAAAAAATCAGTTTGTGTTTCAAACATACGTAGCTATTAGAAGCATTTTTTAATTATTATGCATACCAGAGTAAATTTAATCTGAAAAGAATACGGTTTTTTCTTTGGCAAACAAAGGCACATGTATACTGTGTATTACCAACATTTCATTCACATAATTCTGACCTTGCAGTGTCCACAGAAAGAGGAAAACTGGCTAACAACATAGGACTGAAAACACTGTCGTACTATGTCTGGAAATGTCAGATTTTCCCAAATGGTGTCTTCCTTTCATAATTGAGTAAGCATGTTTTTTCCTGTATTCTTATAGATGAGAATGAAACAAAATGCTATTTTTGATTTTGTGTAATTATATTTTTCTAGTCTCACTAAATACAGAGATCAAAAATTTCAGAGATCAGAGTTCCTAATTTTTCAGCAATACCCCTTACTGTTATATAAAGAAGGGTATGGCATAAACATAAATTTTCCTTGTAGCTTGCACTATTATTCTAGGAAGTCTCATTTGATATCTAAATTTAAAAAAAGCCCCATGATATTTTTCTATTTCATTTTATTATTGTGTAATTTCTAAACCAAAATCTACTTAGTAACATACAAATTAGACCTATTGTTGATGGAGAAGGCTTCTGGGAACCATTTCCCACCAAATTCTGCCATTTCACAGGGAAATTTTTTGAACAAATCTCATATATAAGAAAATTAACACACATTCAGTTGAACAATGTAAGAAAATTGAATAGTATCATATCTACAAGTAAATCGAATGGACACAAAAATCTCAAAGGATAGGTATCATATATATGTACAGATGTCTTATTCTTTCTAGAGTACATATGAATATATATTCCCATAACAGATGTCTTATTCTTTCTAGAGTATATATGAATATATTTTCCTATAAATAAAAATCTCTATACTTGTAAAAATATATTTAGAATATAGGACTAATTCATTTCATTAAAAACCCTCCTCTCCACTAGTTTTGGGGAATAATGCTTACTATAAATCATAAATAGGAACATATGAGTCATACAGCATTTGGAAGATAATTCTTTTATTTACTTATTTATTTGGAGTTATATACTATGCTAAAAATAATTTTACACTTAGTTGCCACTTTCTCTTTACACCTAGTGATCAAAAGCTTAGAATGAACGGTTGTACTTCAGTGATGGTTACTTAAGAGGAAATTCGTTAAGGCCACTCTTGTTTTATAATGCAACCTCTCATTGATTGTAAATGGAAATACTATTTTCCTTCTTCTGGGCAAATGTGACCATTACATATGTATGTAATTTCTTTCATAGAATCTAAAATCTATATTTTCCAGTATATCACCATATTCTGGGATAGGCAAGATATTAAACACTATGTTTCTGCTCTGCATCTTTATAATCAAGACAGGTACATACTCAGGACAATTTTCTGGAGTATAGTTTGCAAACTTTTCAAAGTTGTCTGTTAGTAGTTCACCTGCTACTAACCTGCACTTTTACTTATGAGGAACACTACTTCCTCTAGAATTTTGAGAAGTAACCCATAAAATCTTAAGACAAAACTCAACCCTTTAGATATTAGTCAAGGCTTTAATAAATTTATTTTTTAAAGTAAACCTTTATGTAGTAAGTTAACTATTCAGATTTCTTTCTTTCTACTGCCACTTTAAAGGATCAAACTTTTAATCCTTTGTGAAAGGTGATTTAGAACATACAAGCTTCAAGGATGAGTTTATCTTAGAGAATAGCTTGAGTGAGAGGCTTTGAATAACTAAAAGAGATAAGGCCCTTGATTCTTTGTATCAAAAGATAAAAAGAGTACAAAAGGTATCATGGGAAGACAACCCTAAAAGACATGCATCAATTTGCTTGCAATCCTCTTAGAACCTCTGAAAATCATCTACTTGCTACTCTTGGCTCTCCATGATGTAATCTCCAATTTCCAAACTGGACACAGAAAACCAGTGGCTACAACCGTCTGAGTCTAACAGAACATTTATAAAATTTCAACTATCTGGAAATTTAACAAATTGTTATCAAGAGGCTTGAGTTCTAGCAGAGTTCCTCAGTTACTATTCCTAAGATATTTCATAAATCTCTCAATTTTAGATTCTACCTTTGATAAGTGAATGAAAGCTACATTCTTCACACTGGAACAATGACTGAGAAGTTTAAATTATAATATGTTACATATGCTGAGAGAGGGACAGGGAGGCTGGTAAGTACTTTAGTGAATTTAAGGAAGCACTCACTTTCAGGGTCACACGAGTGCAAGTAGGTCACTCGACAGTGAGCATCACCTTAAATGTAATGCTTAAGGTAGCCTTACCTTAGTCTACAAGGAAAGGGTATTGTTAAAGATTATTGTCAAACAAGAACCAGGGATGTAGGTTATTCCTACAAGTTCATTAGAAATTTTGTCAAACTATTTCAGCCCAAATAAGTTTTGTGCTTAAATAAATGCTGTCTTTCTGCCCACTGTGACCATGGACACCTATCTTTTTATTACATTTCTGATCAATATTGCTGAATTATAGGTACTCAACCCTATTTATTTCCACAGTGCTATTTTTTTAAATTAGGCAACAGAAAAATAAATAAAATGTATTTCATGAACCAATTAATTGAATTATTTGGAAAGATCAGATACAGAGAAAACTTAAAAAACAAAAAACAAAAAACAAAACTATCACCGAGTTACAACTTTGTTCAAGACAAGAAAAGAAATTGAAATGTCCAGGTACTGAGTTGAGGCATGGAGACTATGGAAAGCCTTATAATATTCTTTCTTGAACTACTGTGGGATAAATAAAAAGGATATTATCATCAAAAGGTTTTTATCTGTACAGAGTGTAACTCAGGAAGGGAACATACTCAGATTCAGGGACTTAGCAAAAGAATTTCAGAGGAAGGACATTTAAGGAGTCAAGAGACAAAGGATGAGTGGGGAGGGATAATGATCCTTGAGTGGAAAGAATGTTGGAGTCAAGGGAAAGAGTAACTCCAAAAGTTCATAGTCAACCAAGAGCATAAAAGCTTGGGAAATGAAGTTTCTGTGTGATGCTAAACTAAGGAAATGAAACCCTGGCGTGAGCTGAGACTAGATGAGGAAGCACCTCATAAGCCCTCTTCACATTAGACTTTTTTTTTTAAACAACAGTATACACTCACATTTAATAGTTTGCTAGTTAAGCTTATTCAATTGTCTTAGATATTTCTAGAAAAAATAACCGTACTGTATGTTTCATTAAGACATGTACTAAGAGGGTAAACAGAGATAACAAGAAGTATTCTATTTTTCATCCTATAGTTAAGACAGTTTTGCAAGTTTAATAAGTTTTAATATCTTTGTTTATATTTGCTCTTGGGGGTGAGGGTTGATATAAACTGATCACAATACTTCTCTCTGAGTTGGAAATTATTTAGAAAATTCATTATCAGATTTTAATTCAGTTCATAATTACCTAAATAGGCTGCACAGTTTTATTTTAAACATATTCTGAAATTTTTAAACTATAGCAGAAATTTATATAAATTAAAAAAGAATGTGATACATAAGATTTTGTTAAGTTGTGTGTTTTCCCTGCATGTTTTTTAAGGTAGAAAGTTAAACTGGATTATACAAAAAATAAAAATAAGATCTCTTAAAGTTTGACCTTGTATTTCTAGCATTAGAATCTAGTTTATAGGAAAGAATTATAAAGCAGATACAACAAAAATGAAGTAAAATATCTGAAGCCACTTCAGACCAGTTTACTTTTGTACCTGAAAAGTACAATTACGTAACAGTACTTATTTTTCCCCCACTACTCAAATTTATCTCACTCTTCCAAAATGTTACCTTCTATAAAAACATGGATCAGAGAGATCCAGTTAGCATTGGGAATTATACCCTTTACAATGAAAGCTATAACTTAGCTCTGAAATAAAGAGAAAATCAAATAGTGTTTTGGCATTTTTTTTCCTTAGTGTTTGAATTTGTCATTTGACATTGCTTTTTTTTTCTTTCTTGTCCTTTCTAAATTAAGATACAGACAAAATTATGATAGCATTGAAGATTTTTCATTGAGAAACAGATTTTGAAGGAAGACATTCCACTTGGTATTTATAAAATATCAAGTGTTGGCGGACTTTGATAATTACGAAAACTGCTAACCAAGTAAAGAAGGAAGCATTGCATCTTCAGAAAGCAGTGATGCTTAGGCTTACCTCCTGAGATAAAAAAAATGAAAGGAACATCCTGAAAAGAATGGACTAGGGGGTCTTATTTGAGGGGGAATATCCCTTAAATTTGAGAGGCTAATTCAAGTCTGTCTTGGTTGCAGCCTTCAAGTCTGATACGAACTACAGTTCTTCAGTAGAAACCTATTCAAAATAGCAGCAATGTTAATGAAGAGCAAGCCAAGTCTCTTCAGAATAATTTGTGCTGACACTGAAATGAGAGCTGCTGCAATTCTGCTGTGTGGAATTAGAGAGCTGCTATTTTTTGTAGTACTGTGAGGGGGAAGGAGCATAAATTGACTCACGGTCCTGGAAGTTGGAGGCGCTGAAGGACTTGTTAGTGACACCATCTCCTGGATTGCTAATCGGAGCTTTAAGCGATGAAGAGGGTTGCTGATTCCAATTTCTCTCTGGATCTCAGTGTCCGATAATGCAGACATGATGGCACCGCTCTTCACGTTGGCTCTACAGGCTGCCACGTACCAAGCAGGCATCCCAAGCCATAGCTGTTGGAGGGGGAGGGGGATACACACAGATATTATCGTAACGGTTAACATTTTAGTGTCTCTTATGTATTAGGCATCATTTTAAGGGTCATGTATTTATGAAGCATTAATTACCAAAACCTCATGAGAAAGATGCTATTATTTTCTCAGAAGAAGATAAATGTATAGAGATAGTATGCAATTTATTCAAAAATATCATCTAGAGCCTTGTGGTGGCAGAAGGGGTTAAGTCTCACGACTATGAAGCTGTCCACAGCCACTTCAAGTTCCATCCCTGGCCAGGGAGGTGACCCACATGGCACAGCAAGCCTGCTGTCTCATCCGCTGCTTGCCTCAGCAGTGTACTTCATAGATCTGATTGTTCTGCTCCCCGTTCTGTCTCTGGTGAAGCCTCTCACCACCTCTTCACCTCTGGCCTGTACTATAGTTCTGTATGCTAAAACAAATAAACCTTTAAAAGAATATCATGTAGGCAGTGAGGAAATAAAGGTATGAAATCAAATCTCTAGGGTCTGCAGTTTAGCAACTAAAATATATTATTATGCTTAAAAGTAACAGCTGCATTGCACCAAGTTCCCACGCTCCCTTTGGATTTAAGAACAAGAAGAATTTCTACAAGTTGGATTTGGTAAAGGCTCATTCAACATTTGTTTAATGAGTGGTTTTAATGTATAATTCTCCTTTGAATTTTTGTCACAGAAACAGTTCTACCATCTCCAGTCATGTGATTTTGATCAAAGTATGCAGTGTAGCTAAGCCACATTTCACACATCTCTACACCATGTGACAGCTGTGTGAACTATATGAACACTCTTTTTGCAGAGTGAAATAATGTGTTAATGGAAGAGCCTAACGTTGTAAACATATGGGGAAACTTTAGCTAAAGAGAACAACAAAATGAGCAGCACCCTAGAAACTAGGTATTTCAATTTTGTGATTTTTCTGTGATAATATTTGAGTTAGGAGAACAGGGAACGATAGCACAGTGCCTGGCCAGCACCGCTGAGCCATACACCAGCTCTCAGGCACTGTCATAGTACCTGAACCAGCACACAGTGCTCAAGTGTCCATACTTGTGGGTGAGACACAATTCTCTACTCTTTCACCCCAACATTACTTATGTGTAAGAAGCAGAGGCAGTATAAACAGTATCATCTTGGTTTTCAAAGGCCAAACTAGAGTTTTGGGTGCTGTTTTATTTGTTGCCATGAACAAATAAACAAAGGAGAGAAAGTGTGAGAATGTGAAAACGTGAACAAGACAAAGTAGGAAAGTGACAAATTTGTAAAACACTATGTTAAGAAGGCTAGGCCAGAAAGTCTAGGTTCTAATCCCTTCCCTGTCATTGAAGAATCATGTAACATCTCCACATATCAACCATATTTCCTCATTTGTTAAGTGAAGAGATTAAAGTTTATTTGCAAGGCATTGCCTTAGGTAGTTTCAAAGATGATTTCCAAGGTCTCTGCCTCCAGACATCCCCTTCCGGTGTGATCCTCTTTTTTTTTACTTTGGACTGGGACAGAGTGATTCGTCTCTATTGAACAGACTATGATAAAGTTGATGGGCTGTCACTTTCCAGATTAGGCTACAAAGACTGTCACTCATTCTTAAGTGTCCTCTCTCTCCTCTCTGAGCTCCAGATGTAGAGGAGGTCAACAGCCACTATATCCTACTATATCCTGTAGAGCTGAATGGAGCTGCCAAATGGCAAAAGACAGATGTTTCCAGTCAAGAACTATGAGGTAACTGAGTCATGACCTTGAAAACACCAGTCAGCTGGGAAGTAGATTCTCTCTGAGTCAGGCCTCGAGATGAGCGCCACTCTAATACCTTGCAGCCTTGTGAGTAACTTGAAACGGAGGAAGAAGCAAAGCCAAATGCAGATGCCTGACTCAATGAAGCCAGAAGAAAATAAATGCTGAGTTTGGAACAATTTATTACATGATAATTGATAATTAGTACAAATATCTTTGTTTTTTTAAGATTTATTTGTACATACAGAACTGGGGTACAGGGGTGGTGAAAGGTTCCACAGAGACAGAGTGGGGAGCAGAACAGGCAGATCTACAAAGTACACTGCTGAGGGGAGCAGCGGGCCGGCCAGGAGAGGTCTGCCACACCATGTGGTCACCTCTGGCGCAGGCGGGAATCGAACTCATGCGGAAGTGGCTTCAGCCCCTCAGTGCAGTGCCTTAACCCGCTGCACCACCAGGGAGGGCCCCAAATATCTTTTTATTTTGAAAAATTCTGCCATATTAAAAGGCAACTTGCTTCCATAGGGCAAAAAGCACTGTGACTGAAATAGAAGGAGAGGGGGGAACCCAAACACAGTGTCTGACTGAATAATTCTTAGCAGAGCAGGCACAGGGATTGACTTTATCTTGACAGGGAAGAATACATAGGAAGGAAGTGGGACTTGGATTCTTAGTTCATAAGCTCAAGTTGTTCAAAACTAAACTTCTAAATTGACCTTCCGGACCCTAATGATTTCCACCCTCTCTCTTCTAAGGTATTTGGATCTCCACAATGGCCAATATGACCCAAATGCTTGTCCAAACAGTTACTGATGTAATCCCTCATTAGGCTTGTAACATTTTTCATCTGAATAAAAGAGGTGGGAAGCATAAGACTTACTTCTGCTAATGGCCCTAGGCTGTGCACTCAAGGAAGTGCCAAAGGAGGTGAAAGGTAAGAGCTCTTACTCATTGGATCACCGGCTCATTCATGTCTTATTCCACTTTATAATTTGAGTCACTTTAGGAAGCACATTATGAGCAATTTCTGTGTGCTCAGGGTAGGTTTAATTAGCACAAACTTCACTGCCTGTCATTTCCTAGCCCTTCAATACCAGTAAATTTGCTTTTATTTTAATTGAAAAGATTTGTTCATCACTTGTCAAAATATCAACTAATGCTCTGTCAAAATGCAGCTCATGTCACTGCTGTGAAACTATAGGAAGAATCGCTATTAATTTTGAGGTGTGCTTTCTGAAGAGGTTTGTCTTATAATTGATTTTTAGATAATAGTTTTAAAGACTTCTTTGAAAGAAGCAGCTCAGGTCACTAAGATGCTAAAAATTCTCTATTTGCATGAAAATAAAATGCAGTAAGATGCAGACATTTTTTACTCAGTCCAAGAATAAATCCAAGAATGTATGATTTTACCTATTGCCACAGACTACATTTTAATATAAAATAGATTTTCGATTTACCATTGATTTCTCTTTTGCTCTAGATATATGGTAACAAAAGTGGGTGATTTCGTATTCCCAAACTACTTGAAATAATGGGTTTTAATTGCTCTATCAGGCAAGAAAAGTCTGGATTTTTCTTTGTTCTGATATTGGCATACCCCAGTCATTGTCAACAGCCCACCGTAGGGAACTAAATGGAAGCAATGAACACAGCTGCTAAGTGGCATGAAGGGTTCCTTTGTGATCAATTTTGTCTTTTTTTTTTTTTTTTAAGATGTAGTTATTTTATGCACACAGAACTGGGGTATAGGCCAGAGGAGCAGGGGTGGTGAGAGGGTTCACCAGAGACAGAGCGGGGAGTAGAACAAGCAGATCGATGAAGTACACTGCTGAGGGGAGCAGCAAGTGAGACAGGAGAGGTCTGCTGTGGCCAGGGATCCAACTCTCACTGAAGACGCTCCACTTTCACCCCTTGCGCCATCATGGAGGGCCCTGTGATTACTTTTATATACCCTCCCCTGTCTCACTGTATGTCACTGCTTTCCCCCCACTCTCAGGAACTGCTTTATTTTTCCAATGTCCTATGTTTTGCATGGAATTATGAATGAAGTTCTTGCTTCATTAAACATATTCACCTTAGAGAAGTAAAAGGATCTTTCCTTCTTTATTCCAAGTACCTAAATCTAACTGACCTCCAAGGTTTCAAGAAATGGATTCAGGAATAACTCTCCAGGCAACTGAATGGCAGTAATGTCTTGGGTAGCGCAGCTGCTAACCAGGTGATTCTTCTTTGTAACCTACACTAGGACCAGAACTAATGTTTTCTTGAAACAAAAGGAATGTGGCTCATTACTGCTTCTACTCTTGCTCTAGCTATGAAGAGGGTAGACTTTAGAGATACTTTCCTTCATTCCACTGGATGATTCCTTTTGCCACAATTAAGGAAAACATCTGAGTAAAATCACAGCAATGTTACTGGACCTTAAATAAAACAAATATTCCCTTTAAGAGCTACTCCAGGCAATTGGAAAGCTATGACTCCAAAAAGTTGTCTCTAGTTGATCGGAATCAAAACTATCAAATTAGTCTTCATTGATATAAAAGTTCTCTTACCTCATCTACCCAAAAGACACAAAAACACTGATTGAAAAATATACCTGCACCCTATGTTTATTGCTGCTTTATTTACAATTGGAAAAACATGGAAGCAGCCCAAATGCCCAAAAGTAGATGACTGGATTAAAAAGATGTGGTACATATATACAATGGAATATTACTCAGCAACCAAAAAAAGAGAAACACATGTCTTTTGCAGCAACTTGGATGGAGCTGGAAAAGATCAAGCTTAGTGAGATAAGCCAGAAAGAGAAAGAAAAATACTGGATGGTTTCACTCGTAGCAGGAGTATAATGGACCAGGTGGAAAATAACAAGAATAATGAACAACCATATACCAGAGACATTTTGTGGGGGTGGAGTGGGGAATGGGATCAAAAACGGGGGGGTGGGGATGGGGAGGGAAATGCATGGGACTATGGTGATGGCACATGGGTGACTTGGTGATGGGAAACCCGCGGGGATTACAATTGAGATGGAAAAAAAAATGTACAAAATGATGTAAAAATAAACTGTTGTAATTAAAAAAATAAAAAGTGAAAAAAAAAGTTCTCTTACCTCTAGCCAGGCGACCACAGTAGGTCCATCCCACTGGGCAAAAGGTAATCCTTTCCTCCGAGCTTCTTCTAGGAGTTCATGCCTGAGTGTACAGCAAAGATCATAGTCAGCTAACTTGGAAAATGATAATCTTTAATGACAATAATTTAAGAAAAAATCCTTACAGGTTTTTCTATGTATACAGAATACCAAAACTCCTTTGAGTAATACACGGAAGTGATTTGTTGATTTTAAGGAATGAACTGTTGATATCTAAAAATGATTTTGACCACCATATAGTTAATAATTCAAACATTAAATATTAATGAACTAAGAAGATGAATTTTATTACCAGCCAGTATCATCTACCTTTAATAAGAAAATGTTCACATATGTACAGTCAAGCAACCATTACGGGGAACCTACAAGTGGTTTATTCTGTCTGTATTTGTATCTCTTGTATTATCATGTACATTAGAATCCTTCTTGGTCACTGCCTCCTACCATCTCAGTCATCGAAAAATTCCTTTCTATAGAGTCAGTATATAAATTTCTTTACTTTAGCCTCAATCAAGTGATGTACTTGAGTTCAGCATGCTTTTTAGGTCTAGATGATTGGGCCACCTTAGACATTTGGTACTTTGTCTAGACTATGACATTACTTCTCCTTTGATGGAACTCCAAGGTGAATTGACTTCCACCAGTATAAAACAATGTAAAGTATAAAATTCAATAGTGTATTTACTTTCATTTATATTCACTACTGATTTTATTGAAAGTGAAACAAATCAATGACAACAAATGGTTGTTTCTGATAAAAAAAAATATGTAGAGTCTGGAAAATGCATTTTGATCACTGTCCTTACTACTAAGTCTTTAAAAGTAACACCCATTTACAAACCAAGTTATGATCATTCATCATTGAAACAGCAAATACGTATTTTCATTGAAACTAAAATTGATGACTACCTATCTAGAATATATAGTAAAATATATCTACTGTTCCTTAGTACTCCTTTGTTTTACACATGAATTTATGAAATGTAGTTACATATTAATTGCTTCATTTTGGATGTATGTCTTTTATGCTTAGAAATCTACCATCAACATCATAGATGAACTAAAAAACTAAACTATCATTTAACTATTTACTTACTGTTGTAAATAAGCATACATATAATAAAAATATTATATATAAAATATATAATATGTAACAAACATGCTTTTTAAATAGCGAGTTTTATTTGTTTGCATGGTTGTTACCAGCTGAAATACAACGGTGGGGGAAGGGTTAAAGAGGAACAAGGATGTAAAATAAAATTGAACTTGAAGCAATTATAGAGATATAAATCAACTGCTATTTCATTTGTGGGGCTATGAAGGAAAGTGAGGAAAGTTCTGCTTTTAAGCAATTCAGCATCAGGGAAAAGGAGCAGCAATGTTGCTACCTGGAAAACTAGAGGACTTCGTCACCTGGACTGCTCTTCAATCACCTATTCACTTGGGCTTCTGAGTCATCAAAAATCTGACTCAAGTATCCTAGTACCATTGTGACACACACGTTAACAGAAATGGGTTGAAGAGTCTAAAAACCTACCATCAGGTACTTATCAAGCATCTGTGATGAGCTGAGACTTGTACTCGATATGGAAATAGACATGGACCAAAGTTTCCAGGTTAGAGAGAAAAATGCAAACATGTAAAATTGCCCCAACACATAGCAGGATGCACAAATTGATACTGAAACTTGCAGGTACATATGATTGGTGAGGATCAGAAAGGGTTAATCACAATGGGAACAACTGGTAAAGGTTCTGGAGCAATCAAGCTGGTTAGAAAGAGCAGGTAGGTAGGAAAAGGGACTGCATTCCAAGCAGGAGAAGCATCAGGGAGGAGGTGAAGAGGCAGGATTACTCATGGGAGATGTGCAAGAGAAGTGAGACCTCCACAGAGCTGACAAGGATTACTGAGAGCCGTACATAACATCAATGAGGGAAAAGAACATTTCCAGTTAACATGGGAGTGAATTTCAAGGGAAAGAGGAAAATATACATTTATTGCTAGCTTCTGCTACATTTAGGAAAAAAGCCAGTAAATATGCACTCAACACCCAGGAAGCACATAGCATTTCACAAGTGGATTATGTATTTTGTTGACATCCAACAATTTATTGCACTCTAGTCAGAAATGTGAATTTTGCTTAGTCATTACCCAAGTCGGGTAGAAAGAATGAAGTGCCCTCTCTAACATGAAAGAATATATTGTGTTCCAAGCTTTTGTTCAAATACTCATCATGTGATACTCCAGAATCTGCCTCTCCTTTTGTAACCCTCTCTCTGTCCTTTTCCCAGTTTCTGGCGATAGTTCCTAAATGCCAATATTTTTGGTAAGACTTGCCTGATGAAAACCTTTGCATTGCCCAAAAAATAAAGGTCAGGTATCTCAGCACAACTAGATACACTCTTAGAGATCCACTCCAGTTATCTCCCTCACTGCTTCTTGCTGCTTCTGTTCAATCAGTTCTGAAATATTTGCTACCCCCCAAATACTCCATTCTTTTTAACCCTCCATGACTCTGAAATGCCTTTTAAGTCTTCCTCCTTGTATCATCTATCTCCATGGAACATCCCTGTTTGCATCATAACCTAGGCAAACTCATAGTTAGCTTTTGACACAACACATGTTCTAACCTTCCTGTTGGGTCCAGACTTCTCCCAAGAAAAAATAATTTTTTCTTTTAGACAAATGCTCTAACTTTTATGTACTCCAATTATTGTACTTATTGTTTAAAACTTATATTTTTCTTTAAATGTAATTAAGCACATTATAATGAAATGTATTGTAGTAAGTATTATAATAAAGAATCATCTGTGTTCTTCTGAACCTTTTCATATTCTTCTGAGCTATATAGTATTCTTGTTGAAAGGGCAAAGATTCTAGATGTAGAGAACTGAAGTCTGGAAACCAGATAGCTGACATATATGTGCTACTTACTATGTGTGAAGACCTATCTTAGGTGCTTTTTATGTATAATTCATTTATTTTTCAACACACTGTAGTAAGATACATATTGAAACCTGTTCGCAGATGAGGACATTGAAGAAAAGAGAATGCACGGAGTCATACAACCAATGAATACAGAGCCAAAGATTTAGCCCTAACCTGGTGACAGTTCTTATAACCCAACACTATTCTAATCAACTTCTCTAAACATTTCATCATTGAGAAAGGAGGTTAATAGCACCCGTTTCGCCAATAATATTTGATGAAAACCTTGGGCTCATTTGTATTTAGAAGGAGAATATATATATCCTCACTAAAATATATAGTCTTTATGCCCTAATTAGCACATGTTTATTTCTCAAAGAAATAAGAGAAAGACTGAGCTGTGCCTTTTCTTTTCTTGTTATGACCACTAGTATCAAATTCTTCATTTGTCCAGAGGAAGGATATTAGTCTCATTTATCTAACCAGATTAGAAAGTTACATGTGTGTAATTCACTTCAATTAAATTGATTTTGTGTAACTGTCATACAAAGTAATTCTCTGGTTAGAAAATACATTTTTAAGGTTTATTTACTTATTATGGTACATGGTAATTACTCAGTTATTGAGATAGCCAAGAGAAAAAATGTGTAACTTCATATCAATCAAGAATAAAATATATAAGCCAAAGTAACTTGACAGATAAATCTACTTCTTAACAGTGCAGCACAGAGAAAAACCAGTTTCCCTACATTGTAATAATTGCAAATCTAGCTACAGTTTACACCATTATTAATTGTAAAATTTATCTTCTTCCATTAAAATTCAATAGTCAGAGGGTAAATAGGATATGATCTCAAATTTCACACAGCTAATAGGCCATACCACTATCATTTAAAAATCTATACTTGCTGATAAATTGCATAAAAATCAAAACAGCATATTTGAAAACTGAAATTCTGGCCAGCAAATGTGAATAAAATATAAAGCCACCCATTTTTTTTTAACACATGCAAACTGAAACCGTGTATATTAATTAACATAATTATTCAAACAGAAATATGTCATAAATCCTAAATAGCTACTTCAGAACATTGATTACCTAAATATACATATATATATATATATATATATATGTATATATATATCTCCATAAAATGAAGAGTTTCAAATATAACACTAACAAGGTGTTATCCTGATTTTTAAAACACAGCAGCATATGATGATTTTGTCTGAACACAAGTTTGAGTGTCTGTATGTTTGTGAATTTTAATGTGGCATATTTTCACATGCTGCCCATAAAAATCCATTACACATTTAAGCAGTGTTTTGCTTAGAGTATAAGAACACATGCTAGGTTATTTAGAACTGAAATAACTTGATTGCATTAAAACCTAAGTTAATTTCTATTGAAGCCTCTTTCCAAGCTGTACTGCAATGGAAGGCAGAGTCTCAGGAAAGAAATTTAATTTACTTGTGAATTTGAGTTGGGATTTACATAATTTCCTTCCTTAGTTTATTTCAAATTGAATCACTTTCAAGACCATGAAAGGTGTAAACACATGCATACACAAACACTGCTTAAATGTGTAATGGATTTTTATGGGCAGCATGTGAAAATATGTCACATTAAAATTCACAAACATACAGACACTCAAACTTGTGTTCAGACAAAATCATCATATGCTGCTGTGTTTTAAAAATCAGCCATACAATCATTCATGCTGTTTACTGAAAACTAGAGGGGATTGTATTACTTTCCTCTAAGCAACCCTACTTTTGTACTGCACTGTGGACTGTTCTCCCAAGTCACTTCTTGAAAGTAAATTGGGGATTTATTGGGGGGAACAGTGGTAATTTTTCAGATTACTTGGATACCATGTACCAGACTGCTTTGTGTTTCATCTAATTTTGAACCCTCTTTAACTCAGATTTGAAGTTTAGAGTTTCCATGTTTCAATGGTTATATGTATTTTCTCAAATTCTTATGAGAATTAGGGAGTTGACAGTAATATCTGTAGATACAGAGAATAGAACTCAATCACTTAAGGGTACTCAGCAAATGACTGGGAAAATGCAGCCTTATATTCTTGTTTTAACTCCTAACTCATTGTTCTTTCCACCCCTAACCTTCCCATGTCCTCAACTGTGTTTATCCTACCTTCTAACACGATAGCCTTCTTCTATTGTACTGGGGAAAACGATTTTGAGTTCCTAAAATGTGCAAGTTGTAGGAATAAGAAAATAAATGTTAAAATTAAGTGTTTATAGTAGCATCTTATAGTTTGTAATGACAATGGATCACCCACATATTTTTTCAGTGTTTCATTAAAGAAGAATGGGCAACTCAAGTTTTATTTCTTGGTTTTAAATTTTTTATGAAACTTAAAAATCATCAGAATACACATGACCAAAACTATATGATGACTTGAAAATACTTTAAAACTCCAATTTCCATAATATTCATTATTTTTAAAAAGAGCATCTAATGTGCATTGGAAAGCATGGTTGAATACAGTTACTTTAAACACAACCTGCCTTGCATTTTTAAGAAGCTTATGGTGCGTTCCTTGATATCATAAGTTATTCTAATGGAGACAAATACTGCATTGTTAAATAATTAGTAACAGCAAGGATAATTAGAGTAGAAAAATATATAGCAAATATAAACCATATTAATAAACTAACAGTACACAGGTATACCTTATACTGGTATAAGAAAATTTCATGTAGTCAATGACACTCTTCAAATCTTTCATACTAACTATATTTCATTGGAGTCATTGGATTTAACCAAGGAAAAAAGTTGCTTTAAACTTAAAAAGAAATAACTCCCTGTATGCAAAGTGTTTTAATGAGATCACATGTTAAATATTCAATATTTTTTAAATGTCATATATAATGCCTTTTCTTTGAAGTATATTTATTTTAAGAAAAGATAACACATCCTAATCTTAGTTCAAAAAGAGGAATTTAAAAATTGAAACTCTAATCTGATTATGATAGATTTAAAATCCTAATTTAAAAATTAACTAATAGTCCAGGGAACGGTGAAAAGAACACTCAAAAAAGGAAGCCTTCAGGTCAAGCAAAGGATTACTTTGGAATCTAAGTCCCAGTAGAGAAAACTCTGCATTAAACACTCTTTTATCTAAATGCAGTTCTATAATTGACAAATAAGTTTGTCTCATGAATATAATGCTAGTGGAAACCCCAAAGCACCAAGGGCACAGGGCAGATTCAGGCACTGAGTGCTACCCTAAGCCTGGGAAAATGACTTGGAGAACTAAGGAGAAAGAAGTCTGTAATGTGTCTAATAGAACCGAAGAAATGGAAGTGCACGAAATACCAACATAATTATCTTGAATGTAAACATTTCTCTGAACCAATGATTCTTTTTTATGGTGTGGAAATGATTATACTTCATTTTCATTTTAGATCAGAGGCAGTGCAGCTTGTGTTACAACTGAAAAGAGAAATACTAAAGAGAAAAAAAAAAAAAAGAGGATGGTGCTGAAAATAAACATGTTCAGCAGCCATTGTGAGTCAACTTACCCAGATGTGCTTTTCATGAGATGGAGAAGGGTGGATGGAAAAGAAAAGCACACAAATGTTAATGGATACATTTCAATCCAAAGAAAGCCATGGAATAAAACAAGAGCATCATTTCAGATGTGTGAAAGCTCAGATATGAGAAAGACATGGTGTCTTTTTCTTCCCCCATGACACACATACTCACTGTATCCAAAAGCATGATCAGGCTGAGGGCAGTTCAAATAGTTGACCAGCAAGTCTGTCTCTTGAAAATGAGCCACTCTGAAACATGCATGACCACATTTTTCCCAGCCTCCAGTATACCCCAGGAGGAAGTCAGGAACCTCACTAAAGAAGACTCTTCACCTTAGGGCACTCCTGGGTTTTATATATATACATATATACATATATATGTGTATATATATTATATATATACATGTATATATATAATATATATACACATATATATAATATGTGCATATACATACATACATACATACATACATATCCAAAATTATTCTTTTTTAAATGTATTTTTTCTCCTGGGTTACTTTACAAGTGGAAGAAATAACTTAGAAATGGCACTGAGTGTCACACACAGTCTCAGAAACCTACCATGAGAACTCAAGAAAAAGGCACAGTCAACCTCTCGAGAGGAAGCAACTAAAATAAGGCCCTATCTTGAGGTCAGAATGTCTGCATTCTAGTTCTTATACATGGTTTGATTAAGATTACTAGCAGTTCTGATTTTTAATTTCTTCAATTTAATTAAGTAAGAAGAAATTTGAGCATTTCAGGTGCATCATTGATCAGGTTCAATATTCCAATAAGTGTCATAATGAAAGATATTTTACTTAGATACATCAGGATCAGTAATCAGACAACAAGAAAGTATAAAGGAATTCTATCACACTTCCCCCTTGCCAGATTATGTCCTTTTCCACTTGAACTGGCAAAATAAGGTTGAATCTCTAAACTTATTTATTTAGACAGATGTTTATAAATATTGCTCCGAGGGAAAAAATGAACTACAGTGATTCACCAACATTACTGGTGTCACTAAAATGACACTGACTTCAATGTAGCTTTTGAAGTAGCCCACTTGATCCCTGGATATAGTAGAGGCACTGAGAAAATATGGAATTTAAATAATTCAACAAAAAGCCATGGAATATTAATTTACATTTTCTGTACAAGCATAATAGACTACTTACTAGAAAAATAAAACCTTTAACTCATAAAATATATTGAACATAACAAAATATGAAGCAGAAATCCCTCTTTTAGAAATTTGGCAAGTTAGAATTTCCTTTCTTATTGCACAATCATTTATAAAGAAAAGTTTGCCAAGGAATGGAACACCCTGCACAGGCCTCCTCCAAAGGCATTCATTCAGAGAAACCATGTCTTAGGTTATTCAATGGGCATTTTTGAGAAATGCACATTCTTTGATTTCTTCAGAATAACTGTGGCAAGTTCCTTAAATCTGCACATTAACAAAGACATAGTATCTATATTAATTGGCAGTATAATATCCTAAGATATTTATGGCATTTGTTTTTAACAGTATACATCATGAATTAAGACCAAAAAGAGACAGCTTTTAGTTTGTTAAAATGGTTTTCCAGTCAACAAACCTGCTCTGAAGTAAAGCAATTTCTGTGTTTCCCAAGCACACTGCCGGATGTATTTTGTTAGTTATTACCATGGACAAAATAATTGTCCTCAACCTATGAACTATCTAAGAATTGATCTTCAACAATTCAGGTTGATTTACTTTACACACTAGAATATTGATATCCCACATATCTTCATTTTTCATGTAAAAATAGAAAACATGTACTAATAAAAATAAATTTAAAACATAAGAGAAATGAAAATAAACAAGAAACACACATATAAAAGTATTTCTCAAAAAGTATTGCTTAAAGTTCTAATATATTTATTAACAATTTGTTAAGTTAATTACTTAGCATTTTCATGAACTTTTGCCTCCATAATTCACTAAAGTCTGAGCAATACTGACCAGCTATCTCACTTTAGAATAGTAAATACATGAACTCATGATTTTCAAAATATATTTTCTACAAAATACAATAAACTATAGTCATAAAGTCTCAGACATTTTTTTGTGGTAATATATTGAGAATCTGTTAGGGGTAATATATTTTGCAGAGTTGGATTTGTTCTTGTGTTTTTGTATGGGTGAAGTGTTTAACGTGTCATATAAATTATTCTTTCCTACAAGCAGGTATTTACTGTACTAGATAACCTCATTATTCTTTTTTCTTCTATTCTAGATTATGAAGATGATGATAAAACAACAGAGATTCTATCAGATATAAAAAAGAACAATTTTTAAGTTATCATTTAATTAACTACATTCATATTGAGTTACCAGAATAATGTTTTCTTTGGTAACATCAGCATATATCCAGACACAACAAAAAGACAGTATGTCTGACATAAGCCTTACACTCTAACACAGGAACCTAAACTTCTAGATCTCATGTGAAAAGAATGGACCTTCTGTTCTTAAGCTAAGCAACTGTGGATGAAAAGCTTCACATGAAATACTTCACAATATGTGCCTCAAATGTGGAATATAATTGCTCTTTTTAAAGTTCATGTTGGCGACTCAGAAATATTTTTAAATCAATTATTAACACTAAACTGGGGAGTGAAAAGCTAGTACTGGAGTGGAAATGTTGAATGAAGAAGAAATTTCTTATAGTAGGTGAAATTTGAGAATATTGAAATATCAGTGGCCAAAACACAGAGAAGATCAGTATTTTGAAGTCTAGGTGGGAAATCAGTGCAGCATGACCAAAAAAATGAGAAGGGATGGCCGTTAGATAAAAAGAGAGCACACTGTCATGTGTTAATAAGACAGGATCAGGAAATGTGTGATCTGGGCAGCAAATATCGAGAGCCCTTCAATGGCATCTTCTTTCTTGTCCTGTAAAGTAGAATGTGAGATCATCTACAGAGGCAGTGCTGAATTCCTAAAGATAGCCAGTCTGTGTGACCCTGCTGTGCTACTCTCCAGTAGGCAGGAGGGGCCCAAATGTTCACTAAAGAGAGACGATTCATCAATGACTATGTTTACGACATCTGCATGCATCAGGTGAAAGTGAAATGATGACATTTAGGAAAGTTTAAGCGTGTTGAAATTATGAACCTGGACTCTAAACAAAAGGTAGATATAGGATAATATACTAATAAAAGGATACAATTTTTTTTTTTTAAAGATGATGGGGAACGTTGATAAAGCAACTTGAAAGGAGAAATTTATGGCTAGAAAAGAGTGATAAAATTTAATTAGAAATTATTTTGGAATAAGAAAGATTTAGAGCTGACAGCAAGATTCAGAATATGACATGGGAAGTGTCTGACCCAGAATAGAGATGACACCAGAAGTGATCGAGCTGTGAAAATTGAAGGTTAGATGTGAATGGTAATCCACAGGGCTCTAAGAGAATAGATAAAGGTTATAGTCAGAATAGGTAAAGACAGGTGACAGGATACAGATTAAATTCCAGCATATTTGTACCCATCCTTAAAGACAAAGGAAGATGGTTCAGAAGCTTTTCATATGGTCCATCATCACACTGCTTCAGAAAGTTTCTTGAAAGTTAATACTGACTTCAAGCAGCTAAAATATCTGGGATTCATTAAAAGAGGTTAAGAAGTCTTCATTCTTTTAAGAATATTATTGTTCAGTTGCTTAGCAAACCTAATCCAGTCAAGCCTAAAATTAAAAATTATGATGTATATATAATATGAAATAAAGCCAGTTAATTATATGTTTGTATGTTGTACAGATAGACGTATTTTTGGAATGGAAAACTTTTGGAATAGAAGTTTATTTTACAAAATCCTGGCATTTAATAATCATTGCCCTTCTTAGAAATGTTGAAAAATGGAGGAAAAGCTGGCTTCGTAAACGGCTAATTTTAAATAACTATGGGATGAAAATACATCTTCTAAGATCTTATTCAAATACTGTACTGAGCTAAACTAATATAAGATCTTATATTTGTGGAAAACAAATGTGAAGAGTTCTTTTCAGATTAAGTTGTCATTGTGCTGAGATATACATTAATTCATTATTTTTTTTTTTAAAGATTTATTTATTTGTGCATACAGAACTGGGGTACAGGCCAGAGGCTCAGGGGCGGCGAGAGGCTTCACCAGAGACAGAGTGGGAAGCAGAACAGGCAGATCTACGAAGTACACTGCTGAGGGGAGCAGTGGGCAGGCCAGGAGAGGTCTGGCTCGCCATGTGGTCTCCTCCGGGGCAGGCGGCAGGCGGGAATCGAACTCATGCGGAAGTGGCTTCAGATTCTCAGTGCTGTGCTTTAACCCGCTGCGCCACCAGGGAGGGCCTAATTCATTATTTTTTAAAAAAGGAATTTAATAGCCCTTGACTTTGTAAGTTTTACTGGAATGAATAATTCTAGCCTTATTCAAGCACACATTTAAATTTTTTACATAGGTTATTTATTAATGATAATTCTTATTACTGTATCAAACTTTGGAATATTAGCTGAAGCTAATTATATCAGAAAAAGGCAATTTTATAAGGCAACTACATCTTGTGCTTTGAAATGACCCTTCCAAGTCCTTAAAAAAAAAGTATCTTGTTTAAATGTAATTGTTGCTCGATTTAAAAGTTGGGGTGAATCTGGTACAAAATAATTTTTTTTCTAGAGGGAAAAATGCTACTTTTTTCAGAGTACAAAAAGAATAAGGAATTCATTCTTGACTACCTGTGTAGGTCATTTTAAACGAGATAGGGTCTTCAAGGTCCAGTTGAAATGCTGACCTATATATTTTCAAATCATAACCTTAAACTGAGATCCTAAGTAATTCAAAGGAAAACTGAGTTCAGACAATCTGCAATTTTATATAACACAGCCCCTAAAGTGTGCAGGCCAGTACTTACCATACTGCAGAGAGTAAATGAAATACATGGCTGAACTTACTACATGGCATTTCTACAACATTTCTGTCATCTACATGTCTAG